TTTTCTACTCGTTTGAATACAACAATTTTGGTATAATATCTGAAATTATATATACAGTAAAAAGAACTGGAAACAAGTTTAAAATACCATGAGCAAACTGGCTACACGTTTATTTGAAAATTTTTATTTCGCTGAACTTCGATATTGATTGAAATTAACCCATTTGGTACTATAGTTTTACTGATTTTAAAATAGATAAATTTAAAAAAAAACTTGTTACTGAGTGCTTCAAATGGAATGAAATTTTCAAAAACACTGATTCGTGCAGCTAATAAAGCTACATTTTTCTCTACATTCTAAAAAGAGAATTAAATAATTCAAGTTCTTGAAGAAACAATGAATATTATATTAGTTACTTTTTGTAAAATAAAGAAAAAAAATGAGAGTGAGAGTGGAAGCTCTAAAAACATTATGCATTAAACTTGGGTGAAATAATCAGGTGCTAAACTCGTTGAAACTTTTCCAAGTTGGTTTTTAATAAGCTAGACTTCAGTGAGGTAGGAGTTAGTTTCTCAGTAGCTGATGTAAAATTTGAATACAATAAAGACGTTAGTATTAATAAAAATAAATTGAAAAAAAAATTGAACAATAGCAGTTCAGATCTAGCACGTGTATAGAGCAGGTGTCAATGATTTCAGGAGATCAGGTTACTTTAAATGCACAATCGCAGCCATCTGAAATCACGAAAAGGGAAGGAGTTATAAAAGAACGTATGGAACAATGAAGAGAGGAAAATTGTCAATAGCGGAAATACTTAAAAAGATGTAGAGTCTTATAGTAGCAACAGCTGCTCCTAAATACTGTTTAGGACACGCGACAGCTGTCACTCCTTAAAACCAACTATTGCAATTTTAAAGAACTTGAGGATAAAAATCATATTGTATTGTATAAAATGTCAAGTTAGATTTTACTATCACTCTCAAAGTGTTCAGCAAATACACTTATAACATACATCGGCATTATGAGTATGTTTATTTTATATGAAACCGATACTTGGAATGTATATACATATATGAACGTGTTTCGAATTTACTTTGACCACATAAGATATTCTAACGTCCATCTTGTGGATAGTTGAGGGCTCCGGATGCTTATTCTCCAGACTTGTGTCTGTTGCCTCTGGCCGCAATGGATCGACAGCTGTTTCAAGGTAAACCAAGCACCGGACGTGCTTGGATACGTCGCATTCGCACAGATATATACTTTGCCATTCCCACCTGCTTCCTTTCTATTTGGGAGTAGGTATCGTGTGGATACCAGTCTGATCAAGTGAACATAAAGATAAAACAAAAAATCATTAACCAGAACTTGTATTCTCTGGAAAGAAAAAATGAATCTCCACAAATTAGTCAAGAGAATTGAATGTCACAATGAATTATCTTGAATCTGTGGGTATGTCACTACACTAGGCAACAGAATTTATATTTGCTTTTTACTTAGTAATAAGCTAGAGATTTTATGAACCTTTGGTCAGTGACTGGCAAAAATAATCTTCAAAAAAATTTTTAAGACAAATATTTTTAGAGAAATTATCAGTGATTTGTTTCTTAAGCTGATTAATGATTGTATTTACAAAATTTTTTTCGACATTTGTACAATGTTATCAAATATTTTTATATTTAAAAGCTAATTACGATTAATGACTGACTCTTTAACTGATGAATAAAACTTATTAGCCTGATTTGTAATTAGGCTAACTACGATTTAATCAATAATCCGATGAGACTAATTAGGTGCTTGTTAATCAATATTCATTAAGTTTTATCATCTTGAAGAAAATTTTCCAAAATAATTTAAAAGACATCATAACTATAACAATACTTATGATAAGAAGATGGCATTGTCTTTAAACTTAAGAAAAGCTTTTAATAATTATTAAAAAATTCAACTCTATAAATTACAATACTCGTCAGTCAAAAAAAATTTACTGTTCATATGCTGGTAGATAATAATAAAAAGATTTATTCTTCTGCTTATTTAACGATGAATACTAACTAAAAGCAAGGCTTATAATATTTGAATAATTTCTATTGTTGTCCAGTGTCCTCTGAAAAATCTTTTATAATCTCATAACATTTTTCGACCTTTCGCTATTGAATTGGGAACTCAGTCCGACAGTTGCTAGCGAATTCAAGAGCATGTCTATTATTATTCCGTGGGTCGATACCATTCCGTGACGCTCACGACCACCTAGCGAAGTATTTGCTCGACCTGCATTCGATGCATCTCACAGTATCGACTATACACATGTACATCCAGATAAATCGACACTCAATGGCTTATCCGTGCACACTTGAGATGTCCCATAGAATGAATTTCATGGGCTTTGCATGTAGATTTCATGCAATTTAACAATTGAATTTATTTCAAGTTGATATCTACCTCAAGATATCGGAAGGAGATTACGTGTAAATAAGCTTGATCCAGATTGGATTTGCAAATGAAAAAATTTCGTTTTAATACCATGGAAAGTACTCTCACCCATATGTATATGTATTACCTTCTCTTTTGCGTTTTCTTATGCACTAAGTTCAGCAGCGATCGTGTGAATTGAGTCATGGAACTTTTATAAGACTTCTGACCGTATGGAAGTTGGTGGAATTTATCGATTATTTTTTTAAGAGATACTGCAATATCCGGTATCATTGAACTTTGCCAATCATAAGTTGAAACATAAAATTCTGAAGAAGATTTTTTTTTCGGAAGTGTCAATGTAAATATTACTGAATACCATATGTCCTCAAGTGTTAAACTTGTTCTTCAAGATGATGGCCTCGTAACCATTTCACTGCGTAAACTTTTGCAATTTCTATTATATAGTTTTGAATACTAGTTGACAGCTTTCATGGAGATGGATTTAGTCATTCATAAGATTACAACGACGCCTTGAGACCACAAGCCTCAAAATTTATGACAGAATATTAATAGTTGCTATTTTTGAAAAATTGTTCCAGGCAATAAGCCAACAATCTTTCTTTCACTGTCTCATTCATCTCTTTTTTCTGAATGCTAAACAGCCAACTATTTTGCTAATACTGTATTTTATTCACGTTTTGTACAATGCATTGAATTTTTCCATTGGTACTGATCCAACTTTTACATCTAATAGACACCAACTGATGACCTGAAATGCATGAATGCTCGTAAAACAAAATAAAACTTTGTAAATCGATTACAATAATGTATTTCTGAAGTAAATAGATGAAGTGAATAAGAAAATTTGGGAAATAATAGAAAATTTATTGAAATACTTGAAGCAATTCCATAAATCTTATTAAATGTCAGCAATTGAGAAAGTTTTCAATATAACTATTCGATTGTATCAATATAAGGAAATATTTAAATGCAAATTAAATGTAAATATTAATACAGAACCTCTTGCTTTTAGAATAAAATTACAAAGTTTAATAACATAATATAAGTAGAAAGAGTGTTAGATATAGAAATAAAAGTTTCAATTAATTACTCAGATGAAACATTTCACACGGTAGAAATTTCTCTTTCAGTATTTTACACCAAATAAAAAACCATTTGTTGACCTTTGCGTGTCTGTTAATGATCCTTGTTTAACCAGATTTGTATTGCAATTGTAGATGTCTATAATGTTGGTTTATCTAAAATTCTTCATTAATTCAAACTCTTATAAAAGGATGGAAATAAATACCAAGAAATATACTCAACTATATTTCAATATTATTGTTATTATTTTTATTATTACCACTTGGAATAAGTGGTGTTATTGTCGTTAAATCTTCATTTGCTTTTGGATAAAGACGTTATCACAAGTAGGACAGTAAAAGAGAATGATGCAAGAATTCAGCATGAAATTTTGCTCAAGGAGGCTACAATTGCGTCACCTGTAAGAAAAATATAAAAAATGTATGAACATATACATAAACAACATTTGCTCTCACAGTAATATTTTTTCAGTACATTTCTTTGTTCGCGATTCGTTTCATTGTTCAATAAATTCTTCAGGTAGACAAGGTGTATTAACCGTAAAAAAAACGACCAAGATGAGACTTTAGTCGTACGTGATGTTACAAAAGTCTCGGTACATGAATATATTTTACAAGATAAATACATTTCTACCTGTTCTCTATTTCATTTCTCTACTGAGTTCGCGTGAAAGCTGATGCCATGATTTGATGCATAACCCCTTACATACGTCACCTTTGCACACGTACCTATCGAATTACAATTTACAACGTTTCGCACTGTCTAATTAAATTCGATCCGTTAAGACATAACATAACTTTAAGAGCCAACATTTTATTTCTTTTCGTTCAGTTTATTTCCTTTGGTTGCTTATTGAAAATTTATGACACTTCAAATTATTAATAAAGTAATAAATGTATTTTTAACATTTAAACAGTAGATATATTAGGAGATATATTTAGAAATACTAGTTAGTAAAACTTGAAGGATTTTAGTGAGTAAAGAAAACCGGTTTAACAGGCGCGTCTATACTCCCCCACATTGGAATGCTCGATTGGATCCGATTGTGCTTCTATGATTATCCACTTTGATAAAGTTTTCAACACAAATTCAATTATTCTTTAATAGCCAGAAGTTTGAAGGCTCAACAATGAACTTATTAACCTTTAATAAGTTGTATTGAATAACTTCAATTTTTCATTATTTGATGATTCGTCATATTAGGAAAAAAGATTGTTGCACAATAATTAATGAGAGCAGAATCTCGTGTGAAATGGGGAAACTAGGAAACGTGGGAGTTACTTTTCCAGGTCATTTAACTGCTGGAACAGCACCCTCAATTCCACTCTTGGTTTCTAGTGTCAGCAGTGATTAATGCATAGGCTACTTTATTGCTCCAAATTCTCAAGTTTAATTTTCGCCAACACGTTTGTAACTTAGAGATAGAGAAAAGCCGGAACTCACTCTAAGAGACAAGTGATCTGTCTTTTAAATTCTCTTGTTCGTTATTCTCATTCCGCTGAATTTATTTTAACATTTATTCTTATCATGTCTGTTTGCAGGGACGAAAGTCTACAACCTACCTCGTCGTCTACTTGGCATCGTTCTGACGGCTCGAGAAGGTCGACACCAAGTCCTCGTTTACATCCAGATGGCTTGCCTTCCCCTCATACAGCACCTGGATCGGTAATTTATCTTTTTCTCTAAATTTGGATTATTCTTTTCACTTGCCTTATTATTTTTCTTTTTATCTTGGATTCGGATATGTTACCAGCTGGATAAAGTACCAAAATAATTGGATAAAGTTAATGATGTTACAATACTTCAGTATTTTCAGTAACATTGCACTAGAGCTATTGATTCATTGTAGCATTAACAACAGATTAAGTAGCACCAGTATTTTTAGAAACACTAAATAATTCATTAGAAACTTTGTTTAATCTTTTTTGGAGCAACTTGGAGATTATTAAGGCATTTGCTGATAAAGATTTAAATTCAATTTAAAAAAGTACAAATTTTTTATTACTTAATCTTTACTTGGTAACACGTTGAAATATTACCGTAGGACCGCCTATCGATCTACCTGACTGATATAACTCTTCATTCATTGATGGAAAATACCTATACAGCTACTCAAAGATTAAACATCTTTTTTCAATAAATAAAATATTATACAAACGTAAAGCTTTCATAACTAGCTGCCTTGGTGGTATAGTGAAGAATTTCCGTTAAATAAATTTTTTTTTTCATAGCATTTCTCTTTTATTAAAAATACTGATTAAAAATCTTCCTTACCTCTGTAGCAATAAATATACTACAAATCTCAGCAGGTATTTTCTGAATGGGCGGCATGTTTTTGAAATTAAAAAAAAATATATTCTAAAGAAAATTTATTTGCATCCAGTTTTTCATTGGTAGAAATAAGGTCAAGTATTTTATTCATTGTTTAATATTTTTTCTACATAAAAAATATTTATTTTTAGGAAATAAAACATGATTTTTATCATACTATTTTCAATTAATTGAAGTAAATTAAAATATAAAATTCATTCTTGGAATAATTTAATGTTATTTAAAAATTTATCAGAGATTTCGATAAATAAATAAATGATATTATAGTATAGGCATTATAGACATTAAGTTAATGGGTTAAGTAAAATTATATCACATATAAGTTAATTAAAATGTAATTAAAATTAACTCAGTACTAAATGAAGATTTGAGTATATTAGATTTTTGTTTATTTACGTAAATTGACTAAGCTACTAAGCATAGAATGATGTATCAGCCTCTTGACTCATATACCTACTACTCACTTTAATCACTCTAGTGTTTAGATAGTTAAGGATCATTATCACCGCCATTTAGCGCCATAACAGTGTCAGTTTATAATAAGTAATGTTGAGGAATACTTCTCTAAATGATGGTTATCGACACAAATATATATACTTATAAATTCACAACTTTTACTACTTTCTAATGGTATTTATCTCAATGAAAAGTGAAATATTTCATTTTTTCCATTTGTAATGAAGCGAAAAAGAGAAGCTAATTTGGATAAAATTACTGTAAAGTGCCGGAAGTTATTGAGTGTGAAGCAACGATTACGGGTAACTAATTGGATTTCATTTATTTATTGTATTTATCTTTTAATTTACATTATAAATTGGCATCTTTTAAAACTGTTAGTATCATGGGAACTTAAGTAAATAGAGAAAATTTTAAAAAATATAGATAGACATAGAAGAATTTAATGCATAACTATGCATAAGTACTCTTGTGATTATTGCTGCAGATCCAAGTAGATATTAAATTAATTCAAGTCTGAGTATCATCCTCGGGTCAATTGAAAAGTCAACGACCTGATCCTTGTCTATCATGTCGTGATTCCTATTTCTTAGATTCTCATTTATATGTATTATTTTCTCGTTGTAGCCATCGTACAATCATCAGTCAATTCCCAGAGAAACATTGGGAGAAAGACGACGAGGAGTACTTGGTATCAGTCGGGCTCAAAGACGTATCAAAGCTTCCAGTACCCCAGCACTTTTGGATCATGACGAGAGGTAATATCTATATAAAAATTGGGTGTTTATTATAAATATTGGTCTTTTTCAATTGTATACGTCTTTTGTAGCACAATAAAAAAGACGTTAAAAGGGGTGACTTAAATTTATCTTGACATCAAAAGAAAGTTCAAAAGTCTTTTTGTATACCTCCATGACCTTATTTTGTAGACTCAATGAGTTACCTTTTGCTATAGTTTCAAGATATTTTGTTAACTTACATGAAGACGTTACTTTGTATTTCATCTTCAATTTTGTGCTTCCACGCAAGTTGACTACAACACCGCAGATGTAGTACCTGAATAAACACGAGATATAGTGCGGTAGAGACTGGTTTCTAATTACAATCTCAATGGAACTCCTGTTGTGTAGTGCAAGTCGTTTCTTCCAGTTTTGGAACCTGATGTATTTAAGAGATATTCCAAGAAAGCTCTTTAAACTTACCGCCTCTTTTTGTATTGTTGTATATAAACTTGTTTCATTTTATTTATCTTCATCGACTTGATTCAACTCCAGATTGATCAATTTTTCCAATCTACCGAGAAACTTGATTGTGATGTAATGACATTTATGTATTTACATTAATTTGTCTCTTAATAGAATTTTAAAGAGAAAGTTTGTTAAATTCCTAGTTTTCGGTTCTGTCAAACGAGACCTCCTGCTTTTTTTTTACCTGACACCGACCCTCTTCGAATAGTTTCTGGGAAACGTCGCCCACACGCCTTCAACCAGTCAGTCGCTTTTTTTCCAACTTATGCATGATCATTGTCATATAAAGAAATTTTCAGAATGTCCGAAATTTATTTCCCACACTTATCAACTCGTCACTTTCTTCTGAACCTTTCATTGAATTGATTTTTGTTCAATTTATTCATTTTCAAATATTTACTTAATTTCAAAATATTTTTATTGCTGTTACATAAAACTAGTCGACAATGGTCAAGTGATGAAAATAGACATGCTAATGAAGAGACGTCTAGAAGACGAGATTTGAGTACTGAGCACCCGTTAATTGAAGCAACTATTCCACTTATTCAACATTCACGTCTTCAAGACTCAAATAATCCAAGTGGCCACGGTGACTCACAATCATATCGTTTAAAAGAAAATACTTCCCAGAATCAGCAAGAAAGTGTTCTTCAAAAATTTCGCAAAAGCTTCTCATTAAGATTCCATAAACGTGGAAGCAAAGAAGGAAGTCTTGAAGGCGATGGACAATCAGCAGTGCCACATCCACCATCACTACCACCAGAGAATGATGGGGAGTTATCTTCTATAGTACGTATTAGCAGAGATGAAGATGAAAAAGATTCTGCTCCAATGCTTGAGCAACATAAGGAAGACTATAATGACCAAAAATTTCGGTAAATAAGAAGAATCACATCTTGAATTAATTTAATCATTTAAAAAATTGAATTTTTTTTTTTTCATCGAACAAAAGTAATTAAAATTTTTTTTGTTTGCAGTTTTGGCCCTCTTGTCTGGCGAACAAGTAAGGAAAGAAAGAAAAATAATAAAGCTGCTCGAAATGCCAAATGCAATAGCGGAGATAGTGGTATTCAAATAGAGGTAAATGTCAGAAGTTTTTAATACCATATATCCTGAAACTTTTTAAAAATTTTCATATAATGTCATACGTATAACATTTTCTAAATAAAGTAGATCACCAAAAAATTTCTCTTTATAAATATCATTATTCTACTAACCACACATGCTAACATAATTATTTTTATTTAGATGGTATCTGGAGGAGCATTGACTGGAGGCAGTGGTGGTGGAAGTCACGGAGCTGGTGATAGTTCTGAGTCGCATGACACTGATGCACCAGATGAAACAGACAGTCCGCCAGCTCTTCGTCGTCGAGTCAATGAAAAATCCCGACCCCAGTCTGAGCTCATTAATCAGTTACTCATTGACAAATTTAAGGTAAAGCGCCTTTACAAAGGATATGTAAACATATTAGAGCAAATCTATCTAAAGCCAGTCATTAACTTTAAATCCTAGGATTTTTCTTTTTACTTAATATTTTCACAATTTGACAAAAAACGATTTTATCTTAAAAATGATTCTTAGTGTTGGTTTATCCATGTTACTGGGTGATTATTTTAGAAAAAACTTTATTTAATCTCTTCCATCAATGGAAGTCTTTTAAATATACCTTCTGACACTGAGTAAAAATTATTTGTTCGGGTTCGGACCATTAGTTTAAAAGATAAGCGGATGTAGTAAACAGAACGGCAAAAACCGTAGAGTTCCGTTTCGAGTTTTTTCGAGCACAGAACTCTCCAACTGTGAAAATAGTGTATAGTTTACTACAGAATCCATGTATGCACTGTTGTCATTTTTTGTTTGTTGCCAATGATAATTGTCGATGACAACATGTAGGCCATTTATCGGACGTGCGTGTCCATATCAGTCCGTTGTGGAGTCTATCGCAACCGCATCCTCATGTTGGGGATAAACTAAATGACACGTTGTTTCTCAGTTCATATTTGATTCACGATGGTTGACGTTGAATTACCTAACATGCTAATTATATTTCTAAACTCTTTATAATAATACCAAATAAAAAATTGTAATAATTATATAGTGCTTATTTTTATTGATGTATTTTCTTCTAAATATGTAAATTAGACTCATAAATCAGATCTTTTCTTGTTAGACGGACCTGCAGCAAAGTCGAGCAGTACGACATCAGAACGTTCGAAGAACTAACAGTGATCTTGGTGGACAAAGACTATTACAGTGGGACACCCGGGGATACAGTGGCCAACTACATTACAGAAGAATGTTGTCAACACCATCGCCCATCAAGACAAGACCGCCAAGGTTGAGTCCGAGACACTCCTCTCATGACATCGTTACACTACGAAGGTACGGAGCCTGAAAAATATTTTCAGCTGTTTCATTCACTTTGTCATCAACATCAATCTTGAAAGAAACAACGAATAAGAGTCCTTGATATGTTAGATAAAGTTTACGATATTGTTTCTTTCAAGTGAACGAAATATGTAATAAAGTCTTTTGATGCTAAGAAATACGTTTTTTTAATGATATTATTAAACGCTACTTAAATGATAATAGCTTTTTAAATGCTATCACGATGCTTTGTTCCTTTATTATGGCGTGAATGTCTACTCACCATATTTTTCATGAAAATATTTTTAGTGTTTTCGCTTAAAATATAATAATCACCTAAAATCTTTAATATTATCATCATAGTAATAAAATCGAAAAATGAATTCATTATATTCTTAAACACAACATAAACATTAATTAATTCAATAACATTCCTTAACATAAAAATTGTCGTCGGTCAAATAAATTTAAAGTTATTTATTCGAAACTTTCCAGTAAATCGAGGGAAAATAGTGGTAGGTAAAACGGGCAAATATACATACATATATGCAACAACTACTATACCAATAATAATACTATCATAATAATTATTATAATAATAACTCCTCGTATTATACTTTGATCTGCCATTTACCATCGTATTGTTTTACGTATTTGACGCATATCCATATAATATTGTTGCTGAATGTATTGTAATTTTAATCGAGCTTAAAGTATATACACACGCTTGTCATATCCTTCAGACAACTACTTTCCCTGTTGGCTACCTTTCTTTGAACCCTTAATATAAACATTCGTGGAATTTGCAGTGCTCTTTCCACTTATTTTACCCTTGTACTTGTAATTCTTAAGTAACTCTCACTTCCATTTTTTATTCGCACATATATAAATTTTTTATAAATTATTTGAACGCAGTAACGCCAGAGGGAGAAACTCTCGGACAAATTTGAGACGTTCATTAAGTCAACCACTCGGGATAAATCAGTTGTCGCCTTTGATGCGTACTAAAACTTCAGGTGGGATATACATATATATTTTAAATGCCTCTATAAAAATTGATGAAATGAGCTAGCGTAGTAGAATGCAGATTAGTAGTTTATTCTGCTTCTTCGCATGCTTTTAGCTCTAGATAACCATACGACGCATGAGTAATTAAATGATTGTTGATCATCACTTTTATGCTCGACTCATCGAAGTAGCTATCAAGTTACTTATTTGTTTTTAATAAATTTTATTCATTTATTGTAACAATGAATTGCATGAGTTCATTAGAATCTCAAAGTTTAATTAATTGGCATAGTATTTGTAAAAAGAGAATAGAATATTTAATTAATGCCTACGCTGACGAGAGTGATTATGAAAGATTGGTAATATAAGCGCATTTATCTTTAATTTATTTGTTATATATTAAAATATACAATATTAATATTTATTTTTTCCAACAACAGGTGCGAAATTTCCCGGTGGCAATGTATTATCAGAAGACGAGCAAGACTTGAGATCGGGTGGTAGTGGAGGTGCTGGTGGTGCTCTTGGAACATCTGATGACGAAATGATGTCTGATTCTGAGTCGTCAATTGTTTCGTTAAGTGAAAGAAAAAAGTCCTTTGAACAACCTATGGATGAAGAAATAGCAATATTAGCTGAAGCTGTGTGGGATCACGTGGCAATTGAACCTGAAGAACTTGCTTTTCGTGCTGGAGATCTTATTGATGTACTTGATACACTGGATAAAGATTGGTGGTGGGGAAGCTGTAGAGGAGAACATGGATGGTTTCCTGCAGCCTTCGTTAGGGTTTGTAATTGCATATTTATTTATTATAACGATTAGTTATAAATTTAAAAATGTATTAAATGATTTTTCTTTAATTATACACAGCTGCGGGTAAGCCAAGAAGAAACCGTAGAAGACTGTTTGGCTGCTATGGCTTCTGGTGTATCTTCCAGTTCTCAATCAAGAAGACGAACCAGTATCTCACTATTATCAAATGAACAAGTTCGAAGTAGTGTAGTGCGCGAACTTGTACAAACTGAACGTGACTTCGTTAAAGTGTTACGAGATGTTGCTGAAGGTTACGTTGCGGAATGTCGAAGGCGTACTGATATGTTCACTGAGGATCAGATCGAAACTATTTTCATAAATCTTGAAGATTTGTTGGAATTCCAAACAGAATTTTTAAAGGATCTCGAAGCACGTATCGATTGGAATGCGCCGCATAAAAGCTGCGTAGCTGAATGCTTTCTCATTCATGTAAGTTGTTTTCCTTAATAAATTCTATCAGCTATTCTTTTTCGAGTCCAGAAGATGTATTATTTTTGATATATAATTTATTCTTCGCAGAGAAATGGTTTTCGTATGTATTCTGAGTATTGCAACAGCCATCCAATGGCAATAGTCACTCTCCAAGAACTTTATCGCCACAATCGATACAGCAAGTTTTTTGAAGCTTGTCGATTGATGCGCGGTCTTATTGAAATTCCTCTCGATGGATATCTCCTAACGCCTGTACAGAGAATTTGTAAATACCCTCTTCAACTTGCTGAACTGCTCAAATATACTAAGGTTGATCATCCAGATTATAACAAAATCCGTGAGGCTCTAGATGCTATGCGCGCTGTTGCGGTTCTCATAAACGAACGTAAAAGGAGAATGGAAAGTCTTGAAAAGCTCGCAGCTTGGCAGTTAAGAGTCGAAGGATGGGAGGTAAAGTATCATTAAGATTCTTTCTAATTGTATACTAACTAAATCGCATAAATTCATAACACATAATGTTGGATATTTCAGGGTGAAGATCTGATAGAAGTATCATCTCAGTTGATTTATCAAGGAGATGCTGTTCGTGTTACAACTGGAATGTGGACCAATAATATCACCCTCTTTTTATTTGATCATCAACTCGTTTACTGTAAGAAAGACATTCTCAAACGTGATACGTATGTGTATAAAGGTCGCATTTACTTGGACACTAGTGAAGTAATCGATGTTCCTGACGGCAAAGGTTAGTTTATTAAAATATTTAACAAAAAAGTTTCCTGTAAATGAAGCTTTTCCAAGTTTTATGAATGATTTTTTTATAGATCACCAACTTGGAGTGACAGTCAGACACTGTTTAAAGGTTTATAGCTGTGTACGAGATAAGTGGTTGCTTTTCTGCTGTAGAAGTGCAGAAGAAAAGCGTAAATGGCTCGCTGCGATGGCGGAAGAACGTAGACTGGTTGAGCAAGATCGTAATGAAGGTCTAGAGTTCCCTGCTGCGGCAAGACAACTCGCTAGACTCGCTGCTACAAGACAACAACATCATCGACCACCAGCAAAGCCACGAAGTATGTTTATTGTTGATATTTTTTCCTATTTTAATAATTAAGACTTTTTACTTACAATTATACATATTCCTATCAGATAAAACTTACAAAAGAGAAGCATACGATATGTCTGCATATCAACCCAACTCGTCGAATTCTCTTGGACGAAAAGTGGGAACATGGTTTACTTTTGGTAGCAATAAAAAAGGAACCAGATTGAGACCATCCTGAGATAGGCCGACCTTCGTTCCATACGTTGATTTATAAAAAAAAAATTAAACGTTAATTATTCCAAGGGTGAATAGCCTTACAATTAGTTCTAATTACTGCAAAATTGATATTAAATAAATTTGATGTATGGCACGAAGGTTAAATAATGTATAAAAAAGTCAGTATTGTAAAATAGGAATTACAGCTCGATGTTAATTTTCGAGTATAGTTAAATATGAATATTTGTCAAACATGATTTGAAAAATATCAATAGAAGTTGAACATAAAAAAGTATTAGAAAAATACTTACAATGCAACATCGAATGCCAAAGTGAAAATATTTGAATGTCGTAGAAGATAGAAGAATAAAATTTCTTTATCGCTCGATATTTACTGTGACAATATAGATGAAGTAAATTAAGTAGTTTAGTATAAATTACTATTAAATTGATAAAATAAAAATTTTCAATTGTTGATAATAATTTTGATCATCAATAAATACAAGCTAATGTTCTCAGTAGTTTAAAGGCAAGCAAATAAAGTACCAAGCAACGAAAAAGATCGTTGATAACTAATTTAGTAGAAATTATTCTACTGAAAATTTTGATCTGTTAAGACTGAAGGTGAATGCTTGCTCTAAAAATGCACTAAAGCTTAAAAACATCTGTCGAGCAGCCACTTGTATAGATTGTTAATTGCACTCTCTAGAAAAAGTTTAAAACCAATTGAAACGAGTAAAGGGCAATTCCATCCTAACTTTAAACTGCCGTTTTATTGCAATGCTCTTTCATTAATGGACGTAATAGTTACTAGCAATTGTCTGTTTTTTCCTGATGGAGAAATCTAAATTGAAAATTTTACTTTCACAATGATAATAAATAGCTATAATGATATTAGTCATAAATATATACATGCACTACAGCAATATTTCTTAGTAACGAAGAAAAATAATGATAAACAAAAATGGCCTGTTTTTTTGAAAATAACGAGCTCGGTGAAAGTGATTTGTCACTGCCAGTATAACATATTGTGAGAGAAATTATTGATATTAGGAAAAAGGTTAAAAGAGTGGAGGAATGCAATCTTGTAGTGATTTTTTGCTATACAATTAAGGTTGACATATTTTATATGAACACGCTGCTCACGTACTTTACAGTATAAAGAGCAACATCTAAAACTATCGTAGTAACTTTGCATTGTAACCTGCTCGACACGCACATCATTTTTATAAGCAACAAAAAAAATAACTAAATTAAAATCATTATTAGCTTTATCAAATTTAATTATTTCTGTGAACGCAACGATCAACATGATAAGAATTAATAAATTATCTTCGAGCACACGCATGAAATACGCGTTAATTTTTTTCATTGAGACATTAGGCGTAAAATGACGACAATATAATGAAGAGAAAAAAAATTAATAGTTAATATTTCCTAAAAATTAAACTTGTACAAAGAGCAATTAATTGATGAATCAGTAGTTATTAACATGATTAATATTAATACATGAACATAATTATATAAACACATATTTGTTGCTGAACAATACTTGTTCCAGCGTTATTTTTATAGGTGAACTCATGGTTCAATGGTGATTGATATATTCTTCCAGAAATATGAAATGTTTGTCTGTATATTCATATTAAAGGATAATACAATAATATGAAATATAAAGGTTTGTTTATAAAGAAAGATATGTAGATGCTAAGCAATAATAATGATGACAGTTATGTTTTTCCCTTGTGGATATACTTGCAATTTTGTACATCAGTTTGCATATAAAAAACGAGAACGATTGAATGATAAAAAAAAAAGGTTGATGACGGTGTCTAGGTCAGTAAATAATTTTTCGCATGCATATCGTATTAAATGGACTCGATCAATAGTAACATAATTAAAGTATAAGTATACATAGGCAATAGTTACAACTATTTCTTGAAATTGTACATACACAGTTACTGTTAGGTGTATATTATAGATGTAAATAATTTAAAAATATATTGGAATGCGTAAATAATATGTAGAAGAAGGAGATGCGAATTTTGCAAATGAATATAAAAAAATCATTGAAAATTGATATAAAATAAAAAAAAATGAAAAAATAAACATTCTTTTGTTAAATATGTTGTTGAATGGCAGCTTTATTTGGTGCCGAAATTATTTCTATATTTATATTTTTGAAAGCTTTATAAAATACATCTCAGTTAATTCTTCTACGAGTATGTACAGTTCAATTGATCCGTTGAATACTTTGATTATTGTTGAAAATTGTTTTCATAATAACAAAAAACTAAATATATATATAAAAAAATATATATATATTTACAAGCAACACATAAAATATAATGAGTTAAATTTATGTAAATAAACATTTTATAATTCTAATGATAATGAAATTTTGTATTCATTCCATTTTGACCTTTAAAAAGTATAAAATGTAACGTCGACAAGATAATCATCATCATTCTTTCTAATTATTGACTATTCAAGTCAGTATGTTGCTTTGATAGTTACCCTTCTCATACTTGCTATCGACACTTGTCATTCATAGCTATTATTTCATTCATTAGATATAATGAATTGATTCCACTTAATCTTTGTTATCTTCAATTTAAAAATATATGTAAATATTGAATCTTGTCAACTACTAATTATCTTTTGAGTTTAAATAATTATAATGTAATAAAACTTATGTAATTTTAGGTGAAAGTGAAAGATCTATAAATAATTATGAATCATAAATATTCTATCGCGTGTGGAATAACACGTGGGAAGTGTTAATATGTTAGATTCCATGTTGCCTAATCTGCAAATATTAACATTCTATTATACAAAAAAAATACAGTAATAGAAAAGAAAATTATCTAAATACCAGAAATTTCTTTTTTATATAATAGAGTCATTAGTGACTCAGTTTGTTTTCATTATATTTTTATTCATAAAAATTAATTAAATGATTAAACTTTTATTTACTTATTAAACACTCTATTTGTGAAGAGCTTATATCATTTAAAATATTAATAATAAACCAACCAATTTTTATCAATTAGCATAATAAACGGAGAGATTTAATTATTAAAAAACACGAGATATTACACTTGCATCGTTCCCTCCTACTCATTTACGTGGGTGGGTTTAATGTGAGTTCGTATCCGAGCTAAGCATCATAAAATAAAAAAGAAAAGTCAAGGTGGAAGCAAGAGGGAGAATGAAATCGATGCAAAAGACGAAAAGCAGAAGGTAGGTGTTCCAGGGGTAAGCTTTTAAGTCGCATGCTTATAGGGTATGTTGGAGCTATTCGAGCACTTGATTGGTCACAAATTCATTCCCACTCTCCTCATTCATGTCTCTCTGGTTACACTCGCACTACTTGTATTGGCGCCCTTTTCCAAGAACGCTAGCGGATGTGAAAGCTCAAAGCGGCATCGTTCGGCTGCCATTCGCAACCGCGCACGAGCTCGCGGACGGCGAACTAGCTCTGTACTCGTAGATGTTAAAACACCTTGGAGCGCGCGTTAACAGTAACTCTTGTTAGTTTTTCAAGTTTTTCCGACACAGTTGCATCATAAATTTTAACTTCTTAGAAAACATCTGGTGGTGACTATTCAGCAGGTGACAAATTAAATAGAACAGTGGGAGTGCATTGAATAACAAGAGTATTCTATTGTTGATCACCCACGTTGAGGCTTTCTAGTTTTCCAAGAATGGTCCGGGTATTGTCCACTAGTATGGCAATTAGCCTAACTCTAATTGTCTGCTGCAACCTAGGGTTAGCAATGACCATTGATCTAAGCCGATTTTATGGATACCATCACTCCAAGCGGTCAGGTATGTTAATCATGAGAGGGGTTGAGATCAATTATAGTTAGATCAAATCTGTGAATAAAAGGGGAAAAACTATTTGACTAAAAATAGAAAAATAGATTGAGCTTTAAGTAAATTTGATTGATATAAATGTCACGGAAATGTCGTGTGACATTGTACCTTGGGGTGTTTTTTTTTATTCGAGTGAAATGGGAGTGCCCTTCCGGCACTATTCTCTTCCTCGATCGATAACCCGCGATAACTCCCGAGCAACAGTTGCGTTAGGCGAAACATGAGTTGTTACTAAAATTTCGTTTCTTTTATCTATTTATCATATAGACAGGTTTATTTATTTATTCATCATCTTGAGAGTACGAAAGAAGAGACTGAATTTAACTAGACGATACTTGACTGTTAAATATTCTCTTGGAATAACCATTTCAAAATTGGGTCAGGTACTGTCGATCCAACTCAATCTAACGACGCAGATTCTCAAGGTCGTCAATTTTGCCGGCTGCAGTTCAATTTTAATGAAATGAGGTCTCGACATAGAGAAATAGGCTCTTTTTTCATCTACTTTTAATATCCATTCATCTTTTTATAACTACATTAATTGTTAACATTTTTCTCTATTGTTTTTTCTTTTATTATACTCTTGGGGGTGTGAGAAACAAGTTTTGTTCATGATGAGTACCTTTTTGTAACGTTAGTGTAGTACAATTGGGGTGTATTATTAAGATAGCTAATGAATGACTACGTTATTCTAGGGGATGCTTGCCACCCTTATGAACCATTTAAATGCCCTGGAGATGGAACGTGTATTTCTATTCAATATTTATGCGATGGAGCACCAGATTGTCCTGATGGATATGATGAAGATTCGCGATTATGTACAGCTGGTGAATAAAACTTAAACAACATTCATTCATTACTTACTCCGTTTTATAAATTATAAAAAAGTTTCATGAGTTTTTTTCATTATTCTTCCAGCTAAAAGACCACCAGTAGAAGAAACAGCAAGTTTTTTACAGTCACTATTAGCCAGTCATGGCCCGAATTATCTCGAGAAATTATTTGGTAGTAAAGCTAGAGACGCTCTAGCACCCCTCGGTGGAGTTAACAAGGTAGCGATTGCTCTCTCTGGTGGGTATTCAATATTTACTATCTAATCTTGCATTTACATCATTTTTTCATGAAATTATTAAGAATATAATAGAAATTTGACGTAAAATGAATTAACTTTTTTTGTAAGAATTTATAAAAATCATTTCTCTTGATCATAAATTCTGATTAGCTCTAAATTGAATCTAGTTAAAACTTAAAATTAAATGAAAAATAACGCAATGCATTTTAATGAATATTTTATAAAAATAGAGCCATAAAATAAATAGTCTAATCATGATAATGTTTATAGAGTCTCAGACGATTGAAGATTTTGGAGCTGCTTTGCATTTGATGCGTGCAGACTTGGAGCATCTACGTTCAGTTTTTATAGCTGTTGAAAATGGCGATTTGGGAATGTTGAAATCTCTTGGCATCAAAGATTCAGAACTTGGTGATGTCAAGTTCTTCTTAGAAAAGCTCGTAAATACCGGCTTTCTTGATTAAAATGTTTAAGACTTAAACAAAGCAGTGCACTTCAAAGGTATATAATGTAACTGCTTTATGCACGGTTGAAAGATCACAATTTGAGTGTTTCAATTATTGAACACATTACCAATTGATTAAATAATAATCGTTAATTATAAGGGAATTGAAGCTAAAATCGCGATTGAATTTTTTATCGTAAGAATGCAGTGTGATTCAAGGGAGGACTCATGTTTATTCAACAAAAAGGGTGAATTATGTCGTACTAAAACCATGAAAAATTTCTAGAAATATACATTTTTCGATTTACGTCTAATAAGTCGATGAACAATTATAATAATTGATTCTCTTGATATATCTTGCTAAGAATGAAAACTATTACAATCATCTTCCTATTCGAGCTTAGCTTTGCATATATTATACAAGTAATTCATGAAAGACGTGAATTGATTTCCGGGAGAGGGAGATCAAAAGAAAATAGTGAATGTCAAAATGAAGATACCAACTTCGTCAATGATGTAATTATTCATTTCAAATTGATCAATTAATTTTGTACCAGCTCTCATAACTGTAGCTTTTCTTCATACCTTCGCCGTCCTTCTTACGGCCTAAATTAATTAATTAATTTGCAATTAATAATTACGCCATTGACGAAGTTGGCACTCTGATCTCAACATTTATCCAAACTATTGAATTATTAATTATCTAATCACTGATACCAATAAATTTATAAATTTTTTCTTTCTATTTTAATCCTTTTTCTACTGTCTAAAGTAGTGACAATCGATTTTATTTGATTATTATCTCATATCATGTGTATTTACTTGCTGATTAATCTACGTAAGTGATAAAAATTGATTTAACGAGTAGTAGTGGTTTTCTGTTTACCAAGGAAAATATTCTCTGTCCAAATGTTTCTTTATACCGTTTTCTTAAGCTATCATAAAACGTAAAAGAGTATCAATATCGATTCAGGAGAAACGTTGACGTTGCCAACACTTATTACATTTTCCGTGCCGATGATATAAAACATTAAAAGGGTAAAGTTTAATATTACAGTAATGAAATTGTAAAAGTGTTTTCATTAATTTTTATGCTTGGGTGGAAGTATCAACAATGTAATGATAGTTACGTTTATTATTATCATCGTTTTGCACTATTTCAGATTGTATTTTCCCAACCTTTGACATTATAGTTAAATGATGACTGTAAAACCTTTCCATTGTGTACCTGTGTCAGTGCGCTTTATGCACTGTTTTTTGCGATTCCAATCACTGTAAAACCAACGCAACAAGAGACAAATTTACCAAAGATAAAAGAAATATAATATAGCAAGAGAAAAAAAAACTCGAAATGCTTTAAAGAATATGTAATAATATAAACTCAACTTGTTTTGAACAAAAAAGCAATATTTTATTTTAAATGCAATTTTTTTTAGCTGATTTAATGATGAAACTTTTTTAAATGCCTTAGGTATTGAAAACATATCACTAAGAGTAATTTAGCGATTTAATTCAATTGAAATGTTTACTCGATGTTCAAAGAGAGATTCATAATTATATATTTATACGTAAAATTAATATTCTTTTTTGAGACATTGTCAACAATGATAAAGTTTACTATCAGGATATTGGTATATTAAGTAATATTATAATTATAAAATGAAACACATACATATCATATAACTGTATGCAATATACATATCAATGATATAAATGATAGAGATAATAATAATAAATTAATTAATTATATTAAAAGCAAGAGATCCCTTATATGTCAATGTCATTGTCCCACCTCTCTTTTTCTTGTTTTAGAAATTTAGTTAAAGCTACTAAATAATATACTCCTATTCTGTCTGCACGACAAACAACTTCCATAGCAACAAGTAATCATATCAAAAATTATGAGTCTATATTTTATGTTAAAAATGAAACAAGATAAAGATAGTTGTGGGATATGCATATATCATAAATCTCGTGAAGATTCTATATGATAAGATTGTTTCTCGCAAAATAACATATCATGTAAAATAAAATTAAACAAAATAGCAGGTAATGAAGGAGCTGATTGAAAGTACTTTTATGAGATAGATAAATACTATTTTGGTATAAAGAGATGGATCCCTAGAGTTTCTACTACGATTTAAAGTAGGGCCTAAACCGTAGCAGAACTGTTGGGAAATCCTTTACACATTTACATTATCAACGCTCAAGGGTCAAGATGTTACTTTTCACTCATTAATTCATTACAATACCTTGTCTCTTTAGCATTCTGATGTAATAATAAAAATAAAAATCATATGTATTCAAACTTTCAGCATTTAACACCAAAGTATTACGCTGAAGATTGATTTTAAATATAAAAGTATATTATACAATTATAAGGAGTCAATTGTCCAATATTAATATACATTAATATCAATTATTAATTAAGCACAAGACTCCTATTAATTTAGTGTCATCACTTGCACGTTTATTTAATTAATTGTTATTTGTGATTAGTCATTCAAATGTAGTTCAAGTACAATTGTCAAATTCAACAATGTTTGAAAATCTGTAAATTATAATAATACTGACGTGTATTGAGTTGTTAATAATTTTTATTCATTTAATACTGATTTACAAAATAATTTCATAAGTCCATAGGATATAATGTATAAATTATATATGAGGTAGACAGATGAGTAGGACAATAAGATTATAGTAAGTAAGTTTTGTCCTTCATAAACATCTTTCATCACTACCTGTAATTGTAATTTTTTCTGATTATTTCTTCAAGCAAATAAAGTCTGAATCTATTAGCACTTATTGTTATTTCTTCATTTATTTCATTTATAAAAAATTAATAATTAAAAAAAACTTTTAAGTTACTAACAATAACATTAATAGAGTAAATTAAAAAAAAGAAAATTATCAAAATGTAATTAATTAATAGTTATGATCAATTCCATTATTTGTGTTCAGATAACCAAGGTCCTAGGGGAATTTTAGGGTGAGCATTGGATTAATTTATGTTAAGGTTTTTAGGGAAAGACGTAATAATTAATGGGATTAAATTATTTGGGATTGTTGAAGGTGTAAATAAACAACACTCACTTAATTATTTTTGTATATAATATATGTATATATACACACATTTATTAATATATGTATATATATATTTATATATTTATTTATGATTAATTACACAATAATCAGACGAATAACAGTGTAGTTTAACCATAGGACAGTCATTCATGTCAAGATATTTAGCAAAAAATAATGCCACTTTATAGTTTACACATTGCAAAATGAATTAAATTGTAACGTGTTTGTTACATCATTTTTCGATAGTGCACCAAAAATATGACCAATAATACATGCTCATGAACAACCATCCGGGTAAACGTGTATGTTTTTAATATAATATGTAATATTTATATTATCTATCTACGCTATAATCATGATAGACGCATATTTTCACTCACTGTTAATTGCCTATTTACTCAAATTAATTAACGTATATTATTTCATTTTACATTAATTTTTAAATTCCATTTTCAAAGCATCTTACATAGGTTTATTCCTTTATATAATTCCATATATTATTGATCAATCATCTTCCAAAGCATTGTAGGAAGTATTATATTCATATATTTATATATAAAGTTTTTCTTCTTATTTTTATGAAGAGCTCAAAAAGATCAGAATAAAAAACAAACACGTATTTTTTTACAACATTTATCAATTTTTGATTGAATTCTGGCCTGTAAAAAGAAATAGGTCTATGTATATAAATCTTTCAAGGACATTGCGTAAAGAATGGGGTTTATAAAATAATTAATATATTTCTATTTTTGGCACTAAAATCATTTAATATATGTTGGTATTTTAATATGGTTACAATAAAAACAAAACTGAATATAAGAAAAATTAATTTGTCAGGCAATGTCCTCATTGCTATGTATGCCCATCGTTTTACACGATTGAACACTCCCTTTATATTATATAAAAATTGAATAAATCAATATTCAGTACATGAAATCTTTTGTTTGAATGAAATAATAGATTATATAACTAAATAGGGAACATTGATGTATTTATATGTGACATTTAAATTTTATTTTATTACTTGTCTTCACATTAAACGCTTTTCATGTGATTTATTTTCAAATATATATCTACATATTTTGCTGTATTATTATACTTAAATTTTTTATCCGACATACATGATTCACTGTTATTCAATTTTCCACCTAGAAAACACCGAAAGCGTTACTTGGTTCATTTTGTATTTATTCAGAATTTTTCTTTTATTTAATAAACATAAAATGCTTATTTTACATGTCGAATAGTATAATAAGTGATATAAATTGACATAATATCAATCATATAATTAGTTGTTTTCTCAAACCAAGGTACATTTTATTGTTTTCTTTACTAACAATAATTATTATTGTTTCCTACTTAATAAAAAACATTTCACACTCAATTAAATATTTAAGAAATAACATACATAAATATTATTAAATCAATTAATTGATTACCACTGACAAGAACAACTAGAATAATTATAATGGTAAAAATAAAATTACATTCAAATATTACATATATCAATTGGATACTGAAACATACTTAGAGTATAATGTTATTATGACTCGACAATTTTTTAGTGGAGCAATGCAGATTACATAACTAATATTTTTCATCACACTTAAACAAATTTTGATAAATTGGATATTCTGCACTGGTTCACTATCACATTAACTAAAAAAAAAAATTTTGCTTTCAGATCTAATTAAATGACTATTAAATTGTCATGTATTAATGAAAATTAAACATTACTTTATTACAATTTCTATAATTCTATTGACAAAAATTTCAATGTCGAGCAATAATTTAGTTTTCGATTTTTCTTAATAAGTATAAAAAAAATTATTAACTATGATTAGAGACAGAAATACATGAGAAAAAATATAAATATAGATAGTCTTTGGTTAGCGAATTATGTTAATTTCAGAAATACATGATAGCTGAGAGAAAAAATTAATACAATAGAGAAAGTAATGAAAAATTATAATACTTTAGATGTTAATAAACACATGAGATCCTTGAGTACAATCTCAAAATTGTAAGTATTGGTAAGTCACAAAAATGATCCGATCAACGGCACATATATATGTGTTACAAAAAAATATGATTTTTATTATTTAAGATCTTATAGGCATTGCATTATATTACTTATATGTACTCTCAATTTTTACAGAAAAGTATACAGTATTTTCTTTGTAGGCAATAAGTAAAGCATAAAATAATTATGCAATATTTATTTAATGTAAATAATTTAAGCAAACTATCTATGAGATAATATGGACAGCAAAAGTAATTAAAAAGAAAACCATATTATTCAGTAACGTGTACTAAATTGAAGCTATTTGACCGTTGATTAGAAACAAAAAAATTAATAAAAAAAAAAAATTTAATATTGCAACAGTATCCGGTGTTTTCTCGTTACAAAAAACCGAAAATCCTCAAGTGCCCGTTAAAATCGAGGTGTAGATTACAAAAGCGCGTGCACAATTTTAGGTACGAAGATGCCGCTGGACTTTTACATTTGTAACATCAAATTTGTTAGTTAGCATTAAGTAAGGATAGTGCGGTTTGTTGTACACGCATCATTTAGTGCTGATGCTATTAACAATTATATCTTTATATTCTAGTATCTAAATACAAGCATGTTATTATAGACATATTGACGTTTATTATAATATATCTTATTTGATAATAACTTTTTCTTTAACATTCAACATATTTTTTTTTATTACGCTATTTTAGTTAGACTATAAATTAGCGATAAAAAATCACATGGAACAGGACAGCGCGATTTTTAATAAAGGACGAGGATTCGCTAATACACACTTCTTTGTAAATATATTCTATTAATATATTATTTTATATTATTCGATTGCATAAACTCTTTATGTATACTTCAAAAGCTCAGCTTTCGACATTGGCTCTCATTTTAATTTACACGATCATAAATATTTATCTCGTGTAGAGTGTAATAATATAATGTAGAAAAAAAAACAATTCCATGTAGTAAAATTATCAATTAATTATTTGTATAGCTGTTGAACTAAAAAAAAACAGCAGGCAAGAATGAAAAATCTCACATAGTTGACAATCAAGTTAAAAAATAGTACGTATCGACTTGACAAATTTGTACATTCACAAAAAAATATGTAAAAAATGTGAAAAAAATGACTACATTCTGTTTATTTACTTCAGATAAATTTGAAGTAAGAAATAATATTAATATCAAAAATTCTGTTTAGGAAAATATTAACGCTGGTATTGTGTAGTAAACGATAAATTTCATATACGAAACACAAGTTTATGAGTTTAGATAATAAATCTTTACAACGAATCGATTTAATAAAGGAAAAAAAAATTACTTGCCGATAAAAAACCAAGAATAATGAATTCTCAATATAGTGTAATCGAATTTTATGTAGTTTCCCATCGAATCGATGTATACAGGACGGCTATAAGTTAATGCAAATTGGGTTACAAATTATTAATAGTATTGATAAGAAATTAACATCGATTCGTCGTATCTTCTAATTGAAAATCATTTAAAAAAGTTGGGAAAAAGTTGTGAAATGAATAATAATATTATAAAAGAAATTTCTCAATACCGTCACGCGTTTACCGAGTTTAACAGGTGAGCCTAGAAGAAAAGAGTATCCTATCTAAAATCCAATCTTAAGTAATATTATATTTTTAATTCACCGTTATAATCAATAAAGTGTACTCGAGATTTTCAAAATTACGGATTAATTTTTTTTTGCTAATCGTAGGCCGGACTAATCGTTTCTTATCAATCTCCTTAATTAAACAATTCACGCCGACATGGATTTACAGTTTTTATATTTTTTGTATATTATTTTAATTCCATATTATTTTCAATTAATTATCGTCGCGCCATTAACTTCTTTCCTCGTGAAACGTTTATATATTGATGCAAGTTTTATTGCACATTTCAATAAATTTATAAATTAATTAATATCATTATTACTTACTACATATTTCTATAGAGATCAAAAACTTAAGAATATTAGTTAATAATTCAAAGAACAAAAATTCGGACATTAATAATATAACTAATCAAATTCTGAAGCAAATTATCTTATTAGTTTTATAAACAAATCATTAATAAACATTTATTATCCTTTAATAGTACGATTTCAAGCAAAATCATCAGAAATTTTCTTGGACTGCGAGTCACGTATAAACTTATGGCACCGAATGCAAATTCTTAATATTTATAAATAATTAAATTTATTTTCAATAAAATAAATATCAATTACGAAGTTTAACATCTCAACGTTATAGCAATGTAATACGACAACGATATCACGACAACAATTTTTACGGGTCCCCATTTCACTTGTTGGACATTTATAACTACTTTTTTTTTTTATAATAATAACTATTTTTTGTGCCAGGTTAACCCGAAACAAAGAAGACTTGCGCTCAAAATTATTAATTATTTTTTTTTTTCTCTTTAATTTAACATTATCCCATCAACATTCACGACAATTATATCTACTCAATTATTCAATCAATTAATAATAGTAATAAAAATCATGTAATGATAATAATGAGTACTTTGTCATATCTATACTTATTAGCTATGAAACCGATCATAAACCTGGGTTATATATCTAGACGTATCTTAAATAAGTTTTCTTCTTATTTTTTTTTTCTCATTGTTAACGATTGTACGTCGTGATCAACACGAATTAAAGTTTTGAAACACTTTTTTTAAGAGGAAATTCCATAATTTTCTTAATCATCGTAACAGATTATTTATTTATTTTGGTAATTATTTCGATAAATTCTAATCTAAATAATTACCTTTATTTTATACTCATACTTGTTACGATTAAATATAGTAATGATACTTTGAATAATGAATAAACGCTACACGTCTGCCTTTTATGACATAAAAAATAAATTAAAAAATGGATAAATTGATTATTACGGAAATATTCAAAGAATATTTTGCTCACGTAATTTTAATATATAGTAACATATGAATTATGAAAGAAATCAATGGTAGAATATATTTAGATTGAGTTTGTAAAGAAAATAAGTAATGTAAAAGATTGCAAAAAAATATGTGCGGATAAATATAAAATATCAGGTAGTCGTTTTGCGCTTTCAATATTCTGTGTGACGTCGTGCGTGTCAATTGCTAAAATCAATCGAACCTCCCCTCTATACTCTCAACTACTACGTTAGACATATACTAAAATAACTTTTATATGAATATGTATGTATACATACTTTGAACCAGACCACCAGTGGTCTTGAATGTCTCTAATACCTGAATTTATGATTAAGTGCCATTTATGTACCGACAAAACACGAATATAATGATTTAACAATGCCTAACATTAAAAAAAAATGACTAAGAGCAAGAATAACATGACTTGCAAATAATTTGTGTTAATTATTTTTATAATTTCATTGCCACATCACTTTATCGGGAAATTTCTGTATGATAACTCTCAGCATCTGACTGTTATTCAAAGTTCCATTGTAGTCATAGCATTATACTGGAAAATTCAAAGGTGTGATATTTGACACATTTGACTTGTGTCGAATGACATGTGTAAAGTTTTCCCATAATTGAGATATACGCTTCAGTCAAGTAATGTTTGATCACAAACTGTAGCAGTAGTAAAATTGACTTGTCTCAAAAGGAACACTTAAAGCCTTATGCATCTCGCAATCCCCTTGATATATACTTGTATAAATGTTTCTATATTAGCAAGGCTCATTTTTCAATTTTCCGATATTTTATTGGACGCGGGATCGAAGATAAGACAGAGCGAATGTAATTAATTAAAGCTTTCTTCATAAACTACAAGTGAAGTCTCAAAAAATATCAAAATAAAATTTCCTTGAACGATATTCTCAAACTACATTCGTTCAATTACTGGCACGATTTTTAAAATTTTGTTGATAAACAATTTTACAATTACCATAGGTGTCTGAAGTAATGTTCAGTTCTTGAACAATTCCAAAGCAAACTTCGGCAGCGTATTGAGCTTAATATGCCGGTCATTCAAACGTCCATGATTAACTTGACGTTGAATTAACATTCTTCTAATATTTTCATTAAGATGAGCTCGATCTGTTTGCACTGAAGTCTCTATTCACAAATGAAAATCCTCTGAACTCATCCTGGTTTATCGACGGAAGTACAGAATCATGAACTGGCGTAAGTACAGGGTCTTCTTTAGTAAACTCCGCATCAAAATTCATAGCATCCTTCTCGTTATTCTGTACAAAAGAATGGAAAATATTGATAACAATAGGTGAAACAACGGTGAAGGATCAATTGAACCTGATATATATATATATATATAACAAAAAATGATAGGAATAAAGTGTATTAAAGGAAGTAAATAAAAGTAAAAACTTACGATTTTTGGTGTGAAGGGAGGTTTAAGCTTACGAGCTTCAAGTGCTCGCCAGTCCATGCATTGGAAAAATGGATGTGCTTTAATAGCAAGTTCTCCACCATTATCAACAACACATCCAAGACGTTTCGCGGGATTCTTGGTCATAAATCCTTTAAGAATAGATACAGCAGTTTTACTGAGCCAAACTGGATAAAGAACATCATCATGTAAAATCGATTCAAAAAGGTCATCCTCATTATCTGCTTCGAAAGGCGGCTGTCCAGCCATCATCTCATACATCAACACACCCAGTGCCCACCAATCAACACTTGCGCCGTATTCTAACTCTTGAAGTATTTCTGGTGCAATGTAATCTGGTGTACCACAGAACGTTGTTGTTGTTCGACCATCCACTATACCTTCTTTACACATACCAAAGTCTGCAAGTTTACAATGACCTTCACGATCTAATAAAATATTATCAAGTTTAAGATCACGATAGATTACTCCATGTTGATGAAGAAATTGCAGCGCCAACGTCACTTCAGCTGCGTAAAAACGAGCTCGAGTTTCATCAAACTTTCGAGCTTTTTGAATTTGAAACATTAGATCACCTGGGAAGAAAATTTTTTTTTCCAATGAATATGCCATTCCTTATAAAAATTAGTTTAACTTTATTTTATGAAATAAAATTTTACATTACCTCCATTAACGTATTCCATGACGAAAAAGAGACGTTCTGGAGTTTGAAAGCAGCTGTGAAGTGCAGTTAAGAAAGGATGCTTAGCTGCAAGTGCGAGTATTCGTTTTTCTGTCATTGTACAATCTACATCTTCATCTTGAATGATGACATCTTTTTTAAGAACTTTCACTGCATAAACTTCCTCTGGATTGTCTTTACGTTCAGCAAGCATTACTTTTCCAAAACTACCTTTGCCAAGTACTTTAATAAAATTAAAATCTTCAAGTGTGACTCGTTGCATTTCGTTTCCCTCATCGCGCGGTGGAATATCAGGTATCGACTGATCATGAGATTGGAAGCTTGTCTCAGTATTCTCCGTAGATTGTGGTTGTTTATTTTGTGTTGATGGACTATGAGATGATTCTCCAGCCGAGCTTTGGGTCTTGTAGTTAATACGTGGCGTCTTTGATTGCTGGTCCGGTGAAATGTTTAGCATGCTCAGTATCTCGGCCATCGCCTTTGTATCGATACCACAATTATTGGCAACGTTCTTTTGACATCGCTTGTGAACATTCATGTTACAAACTGTTGAGAAGATGATAAAAAAATTATCACGCCAATTATAGTATGAACTATGATTATAACCATGTAACTTTTTTATATTTTTTATATTCACCTTTACATTGAAGACCCTGTCGTATCAAGCCATAGAGAAGTGATCCACAGTGATCGCAGAATGTAAATCGTTTATAATTATGTACTTCGAAGAGGTGAGGAACATTTACGCTGAATCGCTGTCCTTGCGTGTTTTCATTTGACTGCAACACAGTTTCCATTTCCTGATCGTCCGGATTTTCCGGATACAAAAAAAATCAACAAAACAAAAAAAGCGTATAACATAAAAAAAGCTCAACAAAAAAGTGCTTAACAAAATATTTGAGCGGCAAAATAATAAATTTAAACACAAATAGCAATAAATAAAAGAAACATCAAAAAAGTTTTTAAATCATACCTCGTCTCTCATTCCAGAACATTTCGTAACTACCAAATTGTGACATCTTTTGTGGACAACACAGGTACATACTGAAAAAAAGTTTCAATTATTATTTCTCCTTATTAGAAAATCTTACATCAATAAATAATAATAAAAATAATTAAATACTAGTAATAATACCAAAAGTGTTATTAATAATTATTTTGTAAAAAATTAATATCATTAATGAAATAGTCATGCAATGATCATGAATTGACTCAAAAAATAATTGCCAAGTATCATATATTTGGTTGTGTAAAATATGTGTGAAAAGCAGATTGAAAAAGTATAATAAATGAAAATTAAAAAAAATCATTGGTTAAAAATAAAGCACTTTATAAAGCACAAAAATAAAACCCAATAATTGATTAAAAAAATTAATTGTTTGAAAAAAACACTTAAAAATCGGTTATTAACATGACTTGTGTCTTTCTCACCTTGACACTGATAGCCTTGCTTTCCGACGCCCCTGAAATACAACAGACAAAGCACTTCACATTATCTTAGTGATAACCCATCAAGAACATACGATATCGGATATATGTAGCATCTTTTTCAACCAAATAGTATTATTGAAGTATACGTGATAAACCATATGATTAATTGGTTTTATTGTATTCAGTTATAATTTTACTGAAAATAATATTTCGGTACTTCTTTATAAATTTAATAATATTGTGACAAATTAATATTAACTCTTGAGATTTATTTTTACTTTCCCAATTTTAATATTGAAGCAATCATGCAACCTCAATAAGAAATATTTAGCATTGATTTCATTTATCCCACATGCAACGTTTCAAGTGTTCATTTCACTCGAAAAATACTTTGAATAGAACAGAGATGTTATTTTTCAAAAATAGTAAGTAATAAATATGTTTTTAATAAATTATTTAAATTAATTTTTCCAAATAGTTGTCATGAAAATGAAGAATAATAAAAATAAGTTTAGAATTTTAGTTGAATAATTATAAGTAATAGTTTTATAAATAACCCTTTTGATGTATATTTTTGATTAAGTTTACAGACTAACTTCGATAATTCATAAGAGAAAAGTTGATTATTGATAGACGATTAAAGTTTTAATCCCGGAACTTAAATTTGCTGGCTTACTTCTTATTAATACTATTCTATATATAAAAAATGTCTCATTGAATAAACTTCTAAGTAGCATGCGTGTAGTTGACTTCAATTAGAATGCATTGTGAAATCCCTTTCAAGCTGTGCGATTTGATTTGTGGTGATCTAACCAGCATTGATAATTTTGAAAAGTGATTTTTTCCAATTGCGCACATCATTCTGGATGGCGAATATTGAGTTGTTACGTACCAAATAAAGTCGCGGCAATGAGAACAGAATGATGGTTGTCTCAAGAAGGTAGCCATAAATTTATGTCCATTAACTTGATGTACTCTACGACGCATAGCCCCTCTTCGTTGTTTGAATCCTTGACGTTCGATAAATCCACGTGGTTCGAGGCTACTCATAATACCGCTTACAATATTTTCTTTTCCTTCTCCTTCGCCACCACTGCATCCTGGCTGTTGATCTATAATAATTGGTAATAGTATTTATTGATGCTTTTGTTCATTCAAACTTGAATATAAACAGTTTTTGTATACCTTGATTGCTCCACTTTAAATCAACTTTTACTCGTAACTTTCCATGTGGTTCAAGATCAACCTGAAATCATATAAATATTATTTCAACCTTGATAAAGTTAATTAATACAATTAATAAACTTACGTGTTTCAGAAAAAAATGAGGATGCATGAATGCTATGTATGAGAATACCGAAGATGAGAAAGGATTTCTTAATAATTTGTGATGATGAAAATAAATAGCACTTAGTACTAACGTCTTTAGTAGCACATTTAAAAATAATATAATTGATTGATGAAATTATTAGTGTGAATGAATAACAATGAATAGAGATGTTGATAATTATAAAATGATAATATAGTGATAGTTTGTATGCTTAATTAGACTATCTGCGCTATTATAAATATTTTTAAATATTATCACTATCGATTTATCTTTATCTCTACAACCATGTGTTGGGCTCTTATCAGCATGCATTATTTCTAGAGTAATCAGTTATGTCATACAATAGATACGACAAATAAACTTGACAGCAAAATATTGTGAATTTCTTAGTATGAGACGAACAAATATTTCAAGTATTTGTAACGAGAATGAATTGAAAGTAAGTAATAGGTTAATTGAAAATAATACAAACCCAAAAATCAGTAGTTTCATCTTCACGACGTGCTAATTCTTCAAAAGGAATTCTACAATTAGCAACAAAATCATCTGGAGGTAACGCAGCATCATGGAAGACAGTTAGTCCCAGCATCGCTGCAGATTTCACTTCATGAATAAATGACTCGTTCCAAACTGGGTCGAAGGTTTTAGGTTTGATTGATGTACGATTGAGACGATTTTGGTCAACATCAAGGAGCACGTAAGGATCTATTATGGGCGGTACATCCTGCCAAAATTTTCGATGTTTGTCAGTGGCACGCAGGCCACTAGCCTCACATATTTGAACTTTAACTGTACCGGTGAACATTTTTGAAAGTTTATCTAAAAATGGAGCGAAGAAAAACAGAAGATGAGATGAAGAAAACTGTTAACAACGTGTGATGTGAGTGTCACATCCGTGTCAATGAAACAACGTGCTGGAATTTCCTCTTACGTCAGCTCGTATAGCTGGTGTTTCTGTTCACTACCGTCGTAGGGAGGGCTGCGTCAAGGATACTGAGATCTTGGAAAACAAAGTAAGGAGTGAGTCAGCGACGTAGTCTTTTCCTATTTTTTGCTTGGCACTGGAGTCGTGATGAAATGTAGGATCTCTTTTATAACGACACACCAGGCACCCTTGACGCTGCTGATCCGCAAGGAATCGTTTGCCACCCCGTCAACGCCACCGCCGTGCTGTTATAAACACATTGGCGGCCTTGCGTTGGCACATTACAGAAAAGGAAACGGAAGAGCGAATGGGGCCTTGGCCGAGGCGAATACTTGCCGCGCAGCCCAACACGACGTTAGGGTGGACGATATTACCACGCAGAAGCTCACGGGTATTTTCTCTCGCGATGAGTTTTCTGTGAAGACTCGTCGCGATGGCCCAACGGCTGATAGCCATTAAAATTGTCCGTAATTATGTTTCACCACCGATCGCGGTTTTATTGGCGACTCGCGGGATATTAGCCCGTAAGTGCCCCTTTAATTTTTCTTATGCTCGATGTTAATACAACATACACAAACCCTCACGTACTGCTACATACGGCCGACTGACTATTGAGTTCGGACTTGCGTTCGGAAAATTTCGTCTCTTTTCGTCTCAAATGTCGTCGTTGCCTATACTCCATTCGTAGCCTCTCGATTCACGTTTCGATTCCTCGAAGTTGTTCTCTCTTTTTTTGTTTGACACTTCTCACTTCAGAGATCCATCATATTTTTAAACTAGCGACCTCTGAAACATCTCACCAACTCTATCGATAACATCATTTCACCTGTCATGATCAGCTGATGATTGCAGGTGTACATTAATAGTTAAAACGAATATTTTGTAAAATGTCGAAGTTACGATACGTTGTGTGGGAGCTTTCATCCAACTTCTCATCAAACCGGTACTTTTCACGATTATTATCGTAAGTCTATATACAATAATCAATAACACTTCATCATTGATTAATATCTTCAATACCTTTTATTTACATCCTTCTGCACTTATTTAGCATCTTTCACTTATTTATTTTATAATTTCGAATTACAGACCACCATGGTGCCAAATTTCTGAATACACTTTAAAAAATTTTTCCACAAAAACATTATCCAATCCTCAGGAAGATGGTCTAATTATTAGTGACAGTTGCGTGAAACGTCTAAAGGAAATATCTGATGGTGAAGCATGTTTAAGGGTTACTGTCGAAAGTGGGGGATGCTCAGGTTTTCAATATAAATTCGACTTGGATTCAAATATTAATGAAGATGACAAGTATGTATAAAATATCAATAACATATCTACTTTACAGGTGATTTTAGAGCGAACAATAGTCTCTGGAAAATAGACTAATTAATTTGAAATTTATACAATAGGAAATGTAAATATATTAATTATTTATAGTAACATCTTATTCGATATTGGTTTAATACGGTGATATTATTTTTAAAAAAACTAAATTAATAACTGGAGTAAGATAAAATGATATAAAGTTGGCCTACATTGAAACTAATGTTTCGCTCTAATAATTCATATAATTATTGATTCGAAATGGATCAATAATTTCTTTATATTTTTTAGAGTTTTTCAGAAAGATGGTGCGAAAGTTGTTATTGATTCGACGTCATTAGAGTACGTTAAAGGAGCAACATTAGATTTTTATTCAGAGTTAATAAAATCAGCTTTTAGAATAATAAATAATCCACTAGCAGAACAAGGTTGCAGCTGTGGAGCTAGTTTTTCAATTAAAGTAGATTAATTGAATAGAAAATAGAAATATTAGATACTTATTAAATTAATTGTAACCAACTTTTTCGTCTTCAAAAATTATAAATATTCTAAAATAATTTTTTGAAATTATTACTAATTGAGATGAAATTGAGAAGATTTTGAGATAACAATTATGGAAAGACTTGACAACAATATGAATTAGGCACAATATTTCAGTGACCAAGAAACTATATGCTTGCTACTTAAAATTGAACGAATTATTAGAAATAAAACATCGCAAAGCTAATTTATTTTTATTAATAACAAGTAATATGCTCAGATAATTGCATTAAAACACAAGTGATAAAATGAAAATTAATTTATTTTCATAAATTATTTAATGCTGAGTCAAAGAACTCGTATCTGTATTGTGGATACGATGTTATAGTAATTTGATATTTCGTATAATATATATACCGAATTATGTACATAAATTGTAATATATTGAAATTTTCATTAATGGAATGTCATCTCTTGATGATGCTGACAGTGAAAGTTATTTTTGTTTACCCTTCTTTCCATTCTGTAAATTATTTTTAAACAATTAAAAAGGAATAATAATATTTTATCAATAATACATCAATTTTCTTACTTTGTTTCCAAGTTCATATTTCAATTGTTGTATTTCTTCAGTTTGTCGGATCAACTTCTCATTCATATTTGCAAGATGTTCCGTCATTGTACTTAGTTGTGCTTTATAATTTCCTTCTTGAACTTCTTTATCTTCTTGGGAGCTATTCCAGTTTGACAAAGCCTCTCTTAATGCTGCTTCACATTTTTCCCTCTTCTCTTCACTTGTATCTAAATGAACACTCATTACTTGATTCTAAAAAAAAATATCTTATCATCGTGCATAAATATCAATAGTTATCTAGTAAAAATAAATGATTACATTGGCAGCTATGGCAAGATTTTTAGCGTGATAAATATGTTTTTCGTTTATTAATTTATCAATTTCCTTTAAAAAATATTCCTTTATTTTTCCTTCTCGAGCTTCAATTTCTTCAGGTATTGCGAATGGTGCTTTAAAAGTCCCAATCTACAATAAAAAAATCATTTATATTTCATATTGATTTAAACTAATGAATCATTGGTAAATATATTGAATTACCATATTATTTATTTCAATTGGTTCCAACGATTCTACTCCTATTTGTTGCATCACATTCTCTTTTTGTTGTAATTCATCATACTTTATTTTTAAAATATGATAGTCACTTTTATACTGACTCAATTCTTTTTCCAAATCACAGATTTTTGTAAATTCGAATTCGTTATTTGTTTCGTCTTGAAAATCAGGTGTTTTTTGAAGTCTTACATCTCCCATTGATTTCGAAGATCGGCGAGATACAGATGGTGAAGAAAACGGAGAATGATCTATTTGACGATGATTCGTTATATTTCCTTTCAAATCATAATCATAGCTACATTTTCCTTCAATACTTGACCAAGAAGCAGTTTCATCATGCTTTTGACGTTCAGTAAGTTTCCTCTGTAATTCATTTTTTTCTCTGTCTAATCTATCAATTTTCTCTTGGTATTTACTATCTAATTCTATTTTAGACTTTTCAGATAAATCTAGCTTACATTCAAGATGTTTTATTCTGTCATTGAGTTCTTCAATTTCGTTATCTTTGTCTGATATTTGAGACAATAGTTGAGCATTTTCTACAATTTTCTTTTGGAATTCTTCAACATAAACATGGTTAGGAGGTGGTGGAGGTTGCTCTTTATTTTCAGCTGATTTATTTCTTCCTTTTTTAGATTTACTTTGTGACTTCTCAAGTTCTTCTTGTAAAACTGTTACTCTTTTTGTCAACTGTTGATTACGAAATGTTAAACTATCTAATTCTTGTTCAGCACGACGAAGTAATACATCTTTCTCCTTCAACTGTTCTTTGAGTTCTGAATTCCGTGTTTGCTCATCAATCACAGCCTTTTTGAGAACACTTGCCTGAGCACGTATCTAAAATGATAAATTAATCATTAAAGCTAATGTTAAAAACAGTCATTGTTTTTCAAAACAAAAATAAATGAATAACTTACCTTTGAGTATTCCGTAGCTACTTTTTGATACTTAGTTTGCAGCTGTCCATTAATTCCTTCCATTATTACAATTAAAAAATATATACATTTATAAAAAATGTAGAACTATTGCACACAATCCCAATCATGGTCAGCATAGTACTTTTTACTGTGTAAAGAGCACATGATAATAAAAATTTTGCACAAACAATTATTGTTGATATTAATTTATTAAATTAGTTGAGGTGTGACTATCTGAACGTGGAATTAAAATAGGAAAGCGACGATTACATACTCATGATGAAAGTGGACTTCAATACATGTAAATTAAAAACGCCCCCACGACAGTACTCATTTTATTGATATTAATGTTGAAGATACTAAGTGACTGATTACAAATATTCCAATAGAATGAATCCTTTTAAATTATTCTTTTGATATCAACTATCAACAATAAATTTACCAAAGCTTTAATTCATCATAAAAAACACTTCATTTGTCATCAATTCATTAGCTTTTGAAAGGTTTATCATAAAAATAATCATTTAATTGATTTTTGCTCACTTTCAACATTGAAATTAGAGAAAGTTTTTGTAGCTAAACTAATAGAATGTCAAGGTAGCACTGTAATTATTAAAGAATACTTATAAATCATATTTATTAATGCCACTGTTGAGTGTTAGCTATAAATTCGGTGGCGTTCCGAAACTGACTGAAAAACGTCATCATTTTTTCATCAATAAGGTAGAAAAACTTTGTCGGAAAAGTAGTGATAAACTTTATTTTAAATTGATAAAACATAAATTGACTTGATCAAATGTTAATAACGCCAGTAGTTGAAAGTAACGTTATCGACTGCAAGATATATTTTTGTACAGATTGTACACTCGGCGTCATTAATGCCTGGTCCATCAAAAACTTTGATACCATCCGAGCAATTATCGATTGAATACCCTTCCAGATAGTCCCTATAACAATAGACTATCCCCACTAAAACATTTTTGAACCTTAATTTAAATAATAAATTTAAATAATAATTATAATTTAAACTTACTTCTTCAGTCATTATGAAATAATCGTGACCATAGATGTAGAATCTCTGTTTGAAAAAAAAACTACTCCATCGATAGTTGCTCGGATGGTATCAAACTTTTTGATGGACCAGGCATTAATGACGCCGAGTGTACTCCAATTTTTTAGTAGTTGCGTATAAATGAGTAATAATTAAATATAAAAGTAATTAATGTTAAATTGATGTTTCTATAAATCAATTATACTGTATATACTTACAACTCATCTCATAGAATACATTGAATATTATATTTATTTATGATCAATTATATTTATCACATGTTTTATATTATAACCTCTTCATTCATCTTCGGCCTCCCAAATTATGGCCGGTACTTATAAAAATTATTTAAAATTATTAGAACAGTGGCCTTTGGATAAAAATAAGCCTGCAAGGTAATTTTTTATTCCTAATATTTTATAATAATAATTATATAATTATACTTGACATCAAGCTATCAAGATTTTAATGCTATATTTTTTTAGGGATTTAGGACAGTATATTCGAAATAAAATAAAATTGGCATTTGCAACAGGAAGATTGGATAGTTCTATTGAAAAAGACAAGTGTAATCGTCATTATGAAAGTCTTCAACGTATTGTAACAAATTATTATTACCGCCAATATCCTAGGAAGTTAAATAGTACAGCAACTGGTTTTACTTCTGATCAATGTAACTTTGTTCTCTCACCAGAGGCACAAGCTTATTTTGAAAAGGAATCTAAGTCGAAGTTTGAACGTGTAAAAGAGCGAATAAAAGGAAAACATGATGAGGAATCTAATCAGAAGTAAACAATACTTTTATTTAGTTAGACGATGTTTAACTCAACTAGCTCTAGAGCCATCACTATCATCTCCACCTCATATTCCTGTGATGGCTAAGGAAGTTATTCAATATTTAAAACCATCAGAGGGTGAAACATTTGTTGACATGACATTTGGTGCTGGTGGCCATACAAAACGAATATTACAATCAGCACCGAATATTAAAGTATTTGCTTTAGACAGAGATCCTGTGGCTCATAATTATGCAAAGGAATTAGCTGAAAAATATCCAGGCCAAATAATTCCATTGCTAGGACGATTTTCCGAGCTTCCTGCTTTGTTGAAAAAAAAGAAAGTATTACCAAATACTATTGATGGATTTCTTTTTGATTTCGGGTGCTCTTCTATGCAATTTGATGTAGCTGATAGAGGTTTTGCAATTTCAAAAAATGGTCCTCTCGATATGAGGATGGATGGAGATCGTTATCCAGATGAACCTACAGCCGCAGATGTTTTAGACCGAATTTCTGAAGAACACTTGTACAGAGTTATAAAATATTATGGAGAAGAAAAAATGGCCAGAAAAATAGCTCAAGCTATCATAGAAACTAGATATACTTACAGAAATTTAAGAACAACTTGGGAACTTGCAAGTCTTGTCAATTCTGTTCTTGAAGACGAAGTGAGAACTGATAAGCTTGGTAGGCCCACAAGTAAAGCTACCAAAGTTTTTCAAGCTTTAAGAATTTTTGTTAATAATGAGCTTAATGAAATCAATTATGGAATGATAATAGCTCACAAATATTTAAAACTACATGGACGGCTTGTAGCCCTATCTTTTCATTCACTTGAGGATACAGTTGTAAAACGACATTTAGCTGGGAATGTAACTGATTATGTAGCTAATCGTTCACCTCTAAGATTTACTGATTGTGGAAGAACATTTACTGATGGAGAAATGGAAATGATCACTGATTCACCATGGAAGATGCTTCATCAACATGTTATTTTGCCTAACGATCAAGAAGTCGAAGAAAATCCTCGATCTCGATCTGTAAAGTTTCGTGCTATGGCAAAGGTGAAATAATGTAACATATTTAAATTGTAGATAAAATAAAGGTATGATTGATATAAAATTTTATTTTTCATTATAAACAATATGAAAAAATATATATCATTTATGATAGAATTTTTGTAACAATTATAACAGTTGAGAGTTACTTTTCAAGCAACAGAAGTAAGATACATTCTAAAAATTCGTAAGTATTCAAAATATCGCAACTTAAAATAATCCTTCAATTTCATCTGTTTCACTGTTCCAATCCATATCGTAAATAGCTGGTCTTGTTGACAAGCCTGGCATCATCATTATCTAAAAAATGGTAATAAATTTTATTAGTATCATTTTATTGATAAGACCAGAGTTGAATAATAGTTATTTACCTCTCCAACCATAGGAACGATAAATTCTGCACCCGTAGATACAAAAATATCATTGATTTCTAATGGAAAGTCTCGAGGTGCATTTTTGATAGCTGGGTCACCTGTTAATGAGTTGGAAGTCTTGGCCATGCATAGAGCGAACTTGTCATACCCTAATTTATGGTATCTTGCTATTTTCTCTTTAACTATGTCCGACAAATGAATTTCTCCAGCACCGTACATTTTAGTGGCGATTGTTTTTATTTTATCTTCAATACTCATGTTAAGATCGTAGAGAAATCTGAAGTTATTTGGTTTTTCAATAGCTTCAATTACAGCATTTGCAAGTTCTAATGCTCCTTTACCACCTTCTGCCCAGTGAGTGCAAATAACAGCATGTGAAGCACCATTACTAAGTGCTGCTTCTCTAACGAGGTTCAATTCTGCCTGAGTATCGCTAGCGTGAACATTTATCGCGACGATAACAGGGATTCCATAATGATTGCCATTCTCAATGTGTTTAAGTAGATTCGGTAAGCCTTTTTGAACAAGATCCAAGTGTTCTTCGAGATATTCTTTTTTTAAAGGCGCGCCAGGCGTCACTGTTGGTCCTCCACCATGCATCTTCAAAGCTCGTACAGTAGTTACCAAAACAATAGCGCTAGGTACATGTTTTGAAGTACGACATTTAATATTAAAGAACTTTTCCATTCCAATATCAGAACCAAAGCCTGCTTCAGTTACAACGATCCCATCAGGTCCCACTAGTTTCATTGCAACTTTATCAGCAATAATTGAAGAACATCCATGAGCGATATTGGCGAATGGACCAGCGTGTACAAGGACTGGAGTGCCTTCTATACTTTGCATCAAATTAGGTTGAATAGCATCTTTTAGAAGAATAGCCATAGCTCCTGTCATACCCTAAAAATAATTTTATCAATAAAATATTGATTAATAAGTTAATAACTATAATTTATTTTATCAAAAAAATTAATTTCTAAAATGAAATTAGTTTAGTGTGTTTTATAAAGCTATTGGAAATCCTTACAAAGTCTTCTGCAGTTAATGGCTCTCCACTTTTAGAAAATGCAACAACCATGTTAGCGAGTCTCTGTTTCATGTCTTCGACGTCAGTAGCCAATGCGAGAACAGCCATTATTTCAGAACCAACAGATATACGGAATGAAGTTTCTCGAGTTTTACCTTTTTCTGATGGGCTTTGACCAATTGTTATTTTTCTTAAAAATCGATCATTTAAATCCACCACTAAAATTGATAAATATAATTAGCTATTTCTTATAAATATTAGATTTATAAGTGAATGTTTAATGAATACCTCTTGGCCAAGTAATTCGTTCAGGATCAATATCAAGTCGGGCAAACTTAGATTGTTCTTCATCAGTTAAAGAGTTTGGATCTGTTTTATTGATGCCAAGTTTTTGTAATCGTTTTAATTGAATTTTAGAGAATTTTCGTTCGCCTTTGATTGTAGGTACAAGCCTGTCATACAGTGCTTTATCAGTTTGTGTAGACTCATGGAAATATCTAGCATCGATTTGAGCTGCAAGTAAATTATGAGCTGCTGACACTGCATGAATGTCTCCTGTTAAATGGAGATTGAATTCTTCCATTGGAATTACTTGCGAGTACCCTCCTCCAGCAGCACCACCTTTTACACCAAATGTTGGACCCATACTAGGTTGTCTGAGAGTGGCGATAGAATTTTTATTACAATGAGCTGTCAATGCCTGAACTAGCCCGAGAGTTGTCGTACTTTTTCCTTCACCAAATGGCGTTGGAGTAATGCCAACAACCACAACTAATTTCCCATCTTTCTGATACTGCAATCGCTTCAAGACATTAAGACTAATTTTAGCTTTCTTTGAACCATAAGGGATAATTTCATTAGGTGCAATATTAATTTCGTTTGCTAAAAGAGTTATTGGTTTTGCCTCTTGACTTCTGGAAATCTCAATATCACTTGGAACTGGTTTTTGAATCTTCAAAGGTAGAGGACGAAGAGACCAACTAGGATCTAGAATTTTGTCAGCTGCTTGTTGAGCTGAACTAACGGTATTTTTCATCAACATGGCTACTGTCATTGGACCAACACCACCAGGAACTGGAGTTATATAAGAAGCAACTTTAATCGCTTCGTCGTAGGCTACATCACCAACAAGACGTTGTCCAGTTTTCTTTGTAGGATCTGCAAAATAAAGTAATTGTGAATTAAAATTGAGTGCATGTACGTCTATTTCAATAATCTGATAATGCTTTTAATAGAATTTACCAGGAATAGGATTGATACCACAATCGATTACAACCACTCCAGGTTTTAGCCATGATCCTTTAACCATTTCTGGCTGACCAATTCCCACAACAAGTATGTCTGCTTGAGACACCTAAATATCCATCATGTTGAATCACTAATTGTTGATGAAAAACTTTTCAAATCTAGTACATTTATATATTTTATATACTTACAATTTTTTGTAAGTCCTTTGTTCTAGAATGACAAATAGTTACAGTTGCATTATGCCATTTTAATAATTCAGCAACGGGTGTTCCTACAATTTTACTTCTGCCTATAACTACAGCGTTCCTTCCAGCTATCGGAATACCACTTCTACAAGATTAACATTTATTTTATTTTTCAATATTATATTTATTATAAACATATTAACACATACTTTCTAATGAGTTCAATACATCCATTTGGAGTACAAGGGAGGAACCCTGACATATCTCCAATGGCAACCTTTCCTTCATTGATGGTATTGAGCCTGAAAAAGAATTTATTTTTTTAAACTGAAATTTTACAAATTTATGTATTCATTGCAACGGTAAACCAGTCATTGATACAATACATTTGTGTCTTCTATTTCAAAGGTCACACGATATGGTTTTTGACAACTGATCTTTTTAAATCACAGCTAGTGGATAATCAAATAATAAAATTTTTTAATTCTAATAATCATCAAGCATGGTTTTTTTTCCTATTGATGACAAGTACTATTTAATCGTTTAAAATAAATTACTTTACCCATCAACATCTTTTTCTGGCAATACAGTATCAGTGATTAAGTGAGAGTTAATATTGTGTATACTGTCAAGTGGCATCTGCACAATAATTCCGTGAGTGTTTGGATCATTGTTTAGTTTGTCAAGTTTATTAATCAATTCCATTTCCGTTGTTGTGTTGGGAAGTTTAATGTGAGTTGCTTTAATTCCAATTTCTGATGCTGCCATCATTTTCATACGAATGTAGACATTTGAATCTTCGCGTCCACCAACTTGGACAATTGCTAATCCAGGCTCGAAATTCGGTATTGTTTTTAGATTTTCTACTTCTCTCTTCAATGATTCACGAATATTTCTGAAATATTTCATTTATTAACATTATTAGTTCAAGTAAATTTTTTTATAAGTTAGATCTGTTATTTAAATAAGTTTTCATTCAAACATATTAATTTAGTTATTATATATAGGTTAGGTTGAAGTGAGTACTTTCAAAAAATATAAATTGTCGTTTAAAGAATATGATATCGATCTAGATTGATGTTATCATGTTATGACTGTCCTGACACTGTTAATCACTGTTATGCAATCAACAATATTTTACAAAATTGAAATAGCTTGTTTGTTAAAAAAATATTAATTTTTCATGATTTGATTGGAATAATCAAAATTGATAGTTGTTTATTTGTACTTACTTTGCCAAATTGGTGCCGGAAAGCACAACGCCACGTGCATCGGTTGCTATTCCCATGTTGAAGAATCTGCAAATAAAACTTCACAATTATTAACATTACTTAAATAATCGATAACAATGAATGAATGACAAAATTCAATATTTACTCTTCAAATAATAATTAATCAAGAGCACTAAAGTAGAAATAAACAAATTTAACGAAATTCAACAGTGGTTTGATATGTTATTATCATATGAGCTGTATCGAATGAATGATTCCATTTGGTTTCGAGACCGGTTTACGTAGTGGTATCTCTTTCCATAATATTTTTCTTGTGTATGTAAGTCATGACATCGCGTATACAAATGATTCTGTCAATGTGATGGTATTGGTCAGATACTTATATACCATATTAAAATTCTAATCGTATTTTTTATGCAATTTATGGAATTTATTTATTTATTTTTTCTCTTTGGAGCAATAAAAAATATTTTTTGTTGATAAGTAGATTACAAAGCTAATTTATGTTCATCTTATTGGCCATCATAACATTAAAGTAATATATTTAAATGAACTTATATTATTCAAATTATTGAGATACTTTAACTTACCGAGATATTTTAAGAGCTCTAGTAAACATATAGAAGTATTCTGATGAAGAATGAATGACGACTAAAAGCTAATTTCACATAAAATTTTGATTATCAATACATAATCATCATAGAAAGGATAAAAAGAAACAATATTACATTATGATTTAATTTTTTATCATTGTTGCTTCAGTTGGAGATTGAGTAATAAGACAGCATTGATAAACTCTGCACTATTGTGAACTTTTGTCCATTGGTATGTTGAAAATAATCTTATTTGTAGGTCTGAATGTGCATTTTAAAATAGTAATATTGAATTGCCATCATGTCTTTTTGATAAATATTTATTTTAGAGACAGAGATATTGAAGGAAATCATAGTACATCTAGAAATTCTGATATGAGAAGATGCTTATGAGATGAGGTAAGTTCTCGACAATTTTCAATTAACTGAATTTGCGGTGGCTCTGAGTTGTTTACCATTGTTCAGAACTACTTAACAGTTCTCCCTTGAAACTTCAATGTGGTTTAACGGAGCAGAACAAAAACTTAAGTATATTCTATTGATGTATTTATTCACAAACATTTTGTTTACATATTTTTTAAAGGTTTTGATGAATAGTCATTCAAAGAATTATTATTTTCAAATCTAGAAAATCAGTAAATTATGCTATTAAATATATTTTTTATTGTAATCATCATCAGCTTGACACTCAACACGTCTCCATATCCTCTCGACTTGATATCTATTAGTATGTCTTGGACCTTCTACCAAGTGATCATTGAAGGAGATGAAGATAAGCTAGGATAGTCTCTGGCTAACCGCGTGTCTTTATAACTTTCACCTTGTGTGTTATTCAGCCCTCGTGTACCGCAAAATTCTCATGGGATGATACCCTAGCGTGTTGCCATACCAAGTAATTAGAATCGGTTATTCAAATGTCTCAATATTTTATCATAATTTTTATTCAGTGTAATGAATCCTTTAAAAATTAGATTACCTATATAAATGAAATAGAGTCATTTTGCATTAGTAAGCTAATGTTTTCTGAACCCTTTAAATTGAAAACGTATTACTTAAGTTGGAGAATGGTTGGTATACAAATCATGTGAATTTCTTGTTGCTTGAATAGTCGATTAATTTTAGTGATTCGAGTCGACAACGCTCAAATGAATTTACAGATTGAGGTGGAGAATACTCTCAAGGGATGAAGTGAGAGATGTTAGAAGTTTCCCTTTATAATTGGCGGCTCTTATGGAATTGCTGAGAGAGTAAGAACAATCTAGCTAATAAGACTCAAGACGCATTTCTTTATTCTTTAGCTTTTTAATAAAATATTTGATCTGAATAATTGCTTTGTAGAATAAGTTTTAAATAAATGTTATGAATATTATATTCATCATTAGTATTGAAAAATCGTGTTCAAATAATTCATTCAAAAAGAACTATTTGAGTTAATGAGTAAGATACTCATTATGGTTTACAATGTACTAAAAATTTACAATAACAAATGATGAAGTACTTCTCTTAATTATTATTAAGATCTTACATATTGGAGGAATAAACATGTCTACATTCAACACCTAATGATATATTTTTCTGTAAGTAGTAATTAAGGACTTTCAAAGAATATCATTGATTTATATTCCCATTTTAATACATATAGTTAAATTGATGCAAGGCTTTTACAAATTATGATAAGATTTTTTTTTTACAATTTTTTGCATCAACGAATCACAAATCATTTTTTAATCTGGTGTTGATAGCTTAAGGATTTTAATAGAAACACGAAGAGAAAGGAATGGTAAATTTTACTCCAATAAATAGTGGCCTGACGCTTTGGGTATAAAAATGGCAATAAGCAATTGTTTAATTAAAAAATTGTAATCTATACTAATTAAACAATTGCTAATTGCCATTCTTATACCCGAAACAACGAACTACTATTTATTGGAGTAAAATTTACCATTCCTTTCTCTCCGAGAAGTTACGAATTGTAATATTCAAATTGCACGTCATTATTTTTTGTCCTTCGAAAACCGGAATTCAAAACCTGTGCTTCCGCATCGAGGATAGTATTCAAATAACGTGGACGTTACTGCTGAGATAGTCGCATCAATGAATGTTTGTCAACATTTATTTAAAGGAAAAAAAATGAATAAATTATTAATTTAAGCGTTATAAAATGACAATTTTGATGAATAAAATGAAATAAATTTAAACTCTTGAATGAAATTTTATCAGAGCAGATGTTTGTTCGTAAGGATTACTGAATAGCTTCGACGAAAGACAGTCTACACCCTTACACGACCTCAAGTTGTAGAGATAGTTAAAGCTCAGAGGGTTTCGCGGCACAACGATCTTTAGGGATAACCGGGGTCGCGGATGATCGGGGGCGGAGAAAACGGACATTCAACGTGAACCATGGGAGGAGAACGTCCAACCCAAATTTCCGTGTGCTAACTACTTCGAATGTCTGAGGAATTTCGTCTTGGATCTAAGTTTTAAACTGAGAGCTTCCTATTGCTTAATGGTCAACCTAAGAAATATATTACTTCAGAAGCAATTTCACTTTTCCTATTACTCTTAAGATCACATTTAATTAAATTCTATCAATTCAAAAAAACTAAAATTCATGATAACACCATTTTTTATTTAATTCAATCACATGCTGAGAAAAATATTTTCGCTATACAAAAAAATGTTTATTTAATTAATTAAAAGAATTTGAAATATTTGCAATGAAATATTTTATTGAATTTAACGAAGTTTTGCGTGAAAAAGTATTTTGATATTTGGTTTAAGATGATAAGTTTAAATATAAGTGACATTGATTCCTACTTTCTAAGACTCCATAGATTTTAAAAAAAAAGGTCAATTTAATGAAAAATCAAAATAAACCAATACTCAGATAATTATATTCATAATAATCGAGCACAATAAAAATGTATTTGTTCAACGAATAATATTTTTTCAATGAATTTTTTTTGAATAAACATCAGAACTGAATTAATCAAAATGTTACCATGTCAATTCTAAAAAATTTTTTATTGCGACTATTAAAAATTTTGATTTCATTATTAAAACAAAAATATTACTTGTTCACAGTAAATTTTTTTTCAGTGTATAAAATTCATTCGACTTGTTCGTTGATTATTTTTCCATCAATCAAAAAATGTCATAATGATATTCAATAGCATTTTTTTTTGTTATTCTACTGATCATAATATTTTTTTCTTCAGTTGATAATTAATTTTCTCAAACATCTTCTCCATCAGCTGATTGTAAGAGTGTTAATTTCATTTAGACGAACGTCAGGATTTCCTTCTATTGCTGTCGAAATTTTCGAGCAAGTGAGGGTGAGAATATATTAAATGTTGAGATTGAATGTTAGCAATAAATAGATGATTGAAGACGCCCGTTGCAACGTCGGAAGGGATATGAAATTAATACGGGACTATCAGGCTCAAGGGGAGGTATTTCTCGTTCGCATATGTTAGAACCTCGACCTCTTTGCTTACTCGAGGTATTTCTGGAATCCTTAGGCCGACCAACCGGAAAGACCCTTCGATGTGAATATCAAGGAAATTGGATAGGGTCGGGGTGTTCGTTAGATATTATCATACAACTAACCTATCACTGATGATAGACTTTTTAAACTGATTTCCTTTTTCTATCTAACATTTTTGAAGCTAAAAGTTGTGTTGCTCGTGTGAGTTACAGCTGGTAAAAACTTCGAACTCTGTCCGAATTACCTCGAAAGTTTCAGCAAACATTTAAAAAAAGTTCAAAGTTTAGTTTTATTTATCACGATCACAGAAAAAGATATTTTCTAATAACGAAGAGAGTTGCTAATTTTTATTTGAACTAAATAAGACTTTAATTCAATGTTTACTCAAATATTGATTGATTTTTTCGTATTAATTATAAAAAACTAAAGGAGATTTCAACCTGATTGGTCCAAAAGTCCTTCCGAGAAGCTAGAATAGGGGATGCGTAGTTGGTAGTCACCCTAACTGCCTCTAGGGCATCAACAAGAAAGATAACTTCGCCCGGGAGAGTAAGACGACGCTAGGGGTTGATTGGGTGACCACCCTATCTACCCTTCGCGACGGATACGCGATTTTCTCGTCCCCTTTTCGTTCAGACTCTACCCACTACTCTCAATCTTTCCTCTTCAAGTTGTTTCTGAGATGAAAACCGACTTATTGAATACAACTTATGCTAAATGAGAATATTCCTAAAGATATTATTCATTATTATCATTTATTTTTTTACTAACTTATTTTTTAAAAACAAGTACCATTTTTTGTTGTACAACAAAGAATAAATTAAAATGATATCTAGTAGATAATTACTTTGAATATTAAAAAAGAAGACTGTAGTTCATTAAGCTGGTGAATTACAGACATCAGTATAATTATAAAAAAATTAATTTACAAGTTTATTATTACGGTCTGAGTATTTTTAACTCAATTATTCTCTCTTGTATTATTACTTCTCTTCTAGATCTCATTTAATTAATGACACCTATTTTCCACAATCAGATATTTTTGGTCAAATATGAAATCCATCTTCTCAACTAAAGAAAATCATTGAATAGATTTGTTAGCGTTACTTGTTTGACTGATATTATTTTTTCCTGACATGATATTACTTGCAATCAGCGGTATTGAATGACGGAAAAATATGATTGATATGTCTGCAATAAAA